GGAAGAAAAAGACAAATTGAGAAAAGCTACTGATACACACCTCAAATTATTTAGAAACCATAGATCAACAAGAGCAATGGAGATAAGAAGTCATTGATCTGTATAATTATCACCATAAGTAAAAATTACATACTTCTGTTTATATTTATTTAACAGAGACTTGAGCATTATACAACAAATTTAACCCTCTAATGGAAGAATTATATGGATTATCTCATTTCCCTGCAGAATGGTCCCCCAAGCTTGGTCCTGCTATCCCTATTTTACAGATGAGGAAATAGAGTCTCACAAATGTTAGATTTTAAATTCATCTTTATATTCAAAAGCCTACCTTTCCACACTCTAACAAGATGCTAAAATATCCATAGTTTATGTGGATATCATTTTCAAATTAAAGGACTGATTTTTACAAGTTTCTAAGGAAATGCACATTTTTGTCTATGAAGTCAAATAGGAAAATCACTTTACAAATGAAGAAAGATATACATATATGAACACCCATATAAATATACAAAATATATGTACATAATTATATTGCAACTCTTCTGCCCCCAATTTTTTTTTTTTTTCGAGACAGATTTTTTTGTTGTTGTTGTCTGGGCTAGAGTGCCTTGGCATCAGCCTAGTTCATAGCAACCTCAAACTCCTGGGCTCAAGCGATCCTCCTGCCTCAGCCTTCGGAGTAGCTGGGACTACAGGCATGCACCACTATGCCCAGGTAATCTTTTTCTATGTATTTTTAATTGGCCAATTAATTTTTTTCTATTTTTAGTAGAGACGGGTGTTGCTCTTGCTCAGGCTGGTTTCGAACTCCTGACCTTGAGCAATCCTCCCGCTTCAGCTTCCCAGAGAGCTAGGATTACAGGTGTGAGCCACTGCGCCCAGTCTGCCCCCAGATATTTTGTTTGTATTCTTTGAAATTTAAAAAAAACTTCTAAAAGAATTTCTCCCCCAAACAAATCTCTGTGGCAATTGTTTTCTCTGTAATTGTTGTTTTTATATCTAATGAGAAAGAGTCTATAAGTATATTGAAAAAATCTCCGTTCACTAAGCCACCAATTGCCACCAATTGATGAGGCAACAGACTAAAGTTTAGTGAGTGAATGTACCTTTTGCAGAAACTCTTACTCATAACAACAGATGAAAATTTTTTTAAATAAAGAAGCTTGGGGGCTTTTCAGTCTTGCTTCTCAAAGCTGCAGCATACCAATTTAGCCTACTTGCTCAGTGTAACTTGTGATAAAAATCTATTCATTAATTATAGCAATTATATCTTATATTAATCAGATCACTGGATTATTTACTTTAAAATCCTATAAAGAGGAATTTTTAATAGTATATTTTACATCCTTTCTCTTAAAAATAATGAGGTGTTCCAGCCCAATTTTGGAACCCTGGTCAAATTGTGCAGAACCCTAATGAAGGAAAGTCTTGCCTAACCGATGTTCAATATTAAGCATCTTAGATACTCTCTTCTCTACAGATCTATCCACCCATCATCTATCATCTATCTATCACTCAAATGGCAAAAATTTTTTTATTTTTAGATAGATAGGTATATAGATATTTAGAGAGAAATAATCACAAGAGAAAATAGAATCCCATCCTTTTATGGAATGGGTGATCAAGTCATATTGAATTAAATGCATCCATTTGAAAATAAAAAAAAATTACCAAATATGATAAAATTTGGAGACTACTTTTATGTACTCACTAAACTAAAAAACAAATATAAAGTATAATGGGATCAATATTAAATAACTTATTACTTCATTTGCTAATTAAGTTATTTTATGGAGTTTAGGTGTCAATATTTGGCATTGCTCAAGCTCCAAGATTCTCACTAGATGCCAGTCGAATTACTCTTCCTCAGTGAAGTCATGAAAACTTAAAATGTCTCCAGACATTGACAATTGCCCCTGGGAGAGGCAAATGAAATTGCTCCTAGTTGAGAATCACTGCTTTAGAGCAAGATCCTAAAGGGCAGAAGGAAATTCAGAACCAATTCAAGTGTAGGAGCTTGAATAACAGACAATGAACAGAGAACTGTGCGAGGAAGAGGGAAAGGTGAACTTTGGATAAAAGAGACAGACTTTTTAACTGATAATGGTTCAAAGAAAACTAGGAGCCCTAGGGGAATAATTGAGCTGTAATAACTAAAATGAGAAGTTTGCCACAAACCCAGAAACTGGGAACTTTTAAGGACACTCATGCTACCAGTAGAGGGTCAGAGTGACTGAAGACTTTGCAGAAGATTTAGGGGTGTGGTCTCTATGTCTGTGGGATGGCAGCTGAGATGAAGGATTGATTTTGAGGAAGAAATATTAAGAAAGTAGAAGAACTTCAAAGTGGACAGAGAACTGTATGTAGTAATCAAGAGGTGTGCAGATTGAAGAGAGCAAGAACTTTATAGCATTTGTTAATTTCCCTCATGTCTTTAATTTCCAGCATGGTTCTTACACTGTTTCTAGGTAAGAAAACTGGGCAAGACAAAACAGAATGATTGCTTTATCATAGGGAATTGATTTTTTTTTTAATCACCAAAATGGAACAGTATTTTTACCTAGGAAGACACATAGATGGGAAGTAATCTTATTCAATGAAATCTACACCTAAAGAAGATACTTTATTCTTGTTCCCTGAAACTGTTATCCCTTCTGTTGTATACTCACCTGAGGGCCTTGATTTACTCCTGGAGTCAGAGGATTTCCAAGAACATACTTCTTAGCTCGCTCTACACTCCTCCGAACAAACTCATCATAAATTGATTCTTCCACAAAAAGCCTGGATGCGGCTACACAACACTGGCCCTGGTGGTAGAATAACCCCTGGTGTGCAGATTCAACAGCATTGTCCACTGCAAGGAAGACATTCACATTAAAGAAGAAATATTTTCTAAAGACTATATATTTTATCTATGTATTTCTTAGAGGCAATATGGTGATACAGAAAACTTTTGAGTTGCATAGTCAGATATGGGCTCAAATACAGTCCACCTCTTAACAGACTACTGACAAATTAATCATCCTGATTCTTTAATTACCATGGAAATAATAGGAACAAAGAGTAGAATCTGAAAAAAAAATAGTAGTTATCATTATAACTTTAATATGGACATTATCAAGTATGAGATTTGATCATAAGATGCTGTTATGAATATCTCCATTTGTAATTAGATGACTGTGAATCTTTCAGGCTTCATGTTTTAACTAAAGAAAATCTGAAATGTCTGTGTATTAAATAATCTCAAAATATTCTTAAATACCCAGATCAAGAGGAAAAGTGATATTTAGGGGTGGGGGAACTAAAAAGAAAAAACAGCAAAAGCAACTAATACTCACCCACCCTACCCTATGACCTTATTCTAGCAAAGACATTTTCAAAATCTATCTAAAGCATATCATATCATTTCATATATGTCTATAAATTTTTCTTACCCATTTATTTTAGGTTAGTAGAATATACCTTAAAAGGAAGAAATAGGTTGCTTCCTTAGTAGATCCTAAACAAGAATAAAGTTATCTTTGCATTTTAATTTTATAAATGTTGAATATGCAACTGAACATTATAGCAGTTGGGTGTTTTATTTATTTTGTAAACTAATCACACCTGCTTAAGTTGCAGTAGGAGTGGTTTACAGAAAGGTTGAGAAAAATTGGGAATCCTGTCATGTTCATAGAATGTTTAATAAGGTAGTAAGTTCCAAAAAACTTCAATTAAGATCACAGTAGCAACATAGGCCAATTCCATGAAGCATTTGTGTTTACAGACTCAAATACATAATGTAGCTGTGAAAGAGTTAGAGGAATGTTGGACCATCTATTTCTGCTAATTAACTTCTATTTAGGAAGTAATTTTGGAATTCCACTTGGTAATATTATCAGAATAAACTCAGAATATGATACAGTGGAATCTCATCATAACTGTAGATTTACATATAAACTCAACTATACTTGCTAGCAAAAAGAAGATAAATTGTTTAAATAGTAGGCATGATTTTCTTCTGGCCATTTCATTTAACGAGCATATGACACAGAAAGAAGGCGGATGGCAGGTCTGAAACTGCTGTTTCTCATTTGGTATCAATGCAACATGTCTCTGGGGTATCTCATTACACTTAATATGACACTAAAAATTAAGGATCTGGAATTTTAAAAACTACATCATGGCACCTAAATACCAAACATTTACATTATCTAGAGTTAAGGTGAGGAAGCTGCAATCTATTCCAAATCAGGAAGAAATTGTGTTTGTGTTAAACTTATCTATGTTTTATAGTTTAGGATGATTTAAGAGATGTTCAAGAGTAATTCTGCACTCTGATTAATTCCCTATACTTTGATGTTAGAAGCAAACCCTTTTGGAAAATTTAATTTCATTGAATGGCTTTATCAGACACCAGAAAGGACAAAAAGCGAAAGTGGCTCATACTCACAGTCCGCATCAGCAAACACGATGCAAGGGCTCTTCCCCCCAAGCTCCAGGGTCACCCTCTTCAGATTGCTTTTCCCAGCAGCTTCTTTGATCAATTTGCCAACCTGAAATGGAGCATTACAAAGGGAGAAGGCTTAATCTGCACTCACGAAGACAGGTTTACTTAGTATTTTAAATTTATACTATGTTTGTGCCATAAACTTCACAGTTAAATTAAATTTGGGAGAAACTCCTAACTGATATTTTTCAAGATTTGGTACCTTTAGATATAAAAGGCTCCCTTCTCCAAGTATACAGATATAATGGAATCAGAAAAATGCTCATCAGTAAGAGACCAGAGATACAGAACATGAGAGCTGATCTTGATTGTCTGGCTACATAGGAGGTTATTTCTCATTTTACTCAGAACTTCATCTCTCTATGGATGGATCAGACACATCATGACCCAATCACAACTTATCTATGATGACTTTTTGTCCCTCTACTGACACCTAGAGAACTCTACCAGCCCAACTGGCATATTCACTGCCTCCTGAATCTCATCTCTCTTCTCATCATATGCCCACCCAACCTGGGCTGCCTCCACGTTCTACCCTTCTTTGGGGTCCAGCTCATATCTTAGCTTCTCCCTGAATCCTTCTGATGATCTAGGTAGAAACGACTCTTCTCCTGGCCTCCCAAAGAACCTCATGAAACCTCTTTTGGTGTCTGCTTCAGATTGTATTATTTGTATACACATGAATTCCCCAAACAGATAGTGACCTCCTTGGTATCAGTGACGATACCCTAATACTGCTTATGTCTCCTCAATAGCATCTATCCAAGTGGGCTCACTTAACTGTACACTGGCTGACAGACTTCTCTCTCTTTCCTCCCTGGTAACACACACACTCTGAACAGTGAAGTAGAAGAAAGAAATTGCATCTGTTTTCTGTGCTGATACTTCAGTTAGCTGGAATCCTACTATTCTGGTTTCTTCTTTAATGCTAGCTGCCGCTAGTGTCTTCAGTTTTTTTCTCTGTGGATCACTTCCCTTCAAGACTATTTTCTATTGTTGTTCTTCATAATTATTTATTATCATTTTTAATGGAGCCTTAATCCACCCAAATGATCTTTGCTTTTCTTTTTTTAAAAAATATAATTCACTTTATTTTGCTTCTTTTATTCTCTGGGTTTATTTTTTCCTAATACACATGTTGGATTTTAATAAAAAAATGTATATTCCAACTGAACAAGTGTAGACGCTTGCTAAGTATACGCATAAATTTTATGTGGTTACTGAACTGCTACTGTACATTATAGAATAAAGCATTAACTAATCTAATGTTTTCATCTTAAAGATTTTATGGTTCTAAATCAAACTCCTAAGAGCAGATTAATAAAAATAAATTAAAAGTAGACTTTCATTGGTTACCCCAGTCTGGAACGTCTCTTGTGTCTCATTTTCCTTCTACAACATACTCCTAAGGACTATTTTAAAAAGTTGAATTTTCATTTAAGGTGATTAAGAATTTTCTTTATTCTAGATAACATTCTTTGCCTTTCCCTCTTTGAGTTCCCCAATTTCATTCTGCATCTTTTTTTTTTTTTCCTTTTTTTAAACTTAGGTTTACTGGAGAAACTCTAATTATAGTAGACAACTTTTTTCTTGAGAAAGGGAGTAAAATCATAATTATTTTTCTAAAACCTACAAGTATCAAAAGACTAGTGTGAAGAATAGTTAGAAGTATGGATGAGGAAGAAAGGTTATACTTTTGCTCAGTGCAAGTTTAAGTGGCCAATAAAAGGCTTGCTTGAATTTTCCCAAAAGTCTAAGCCCAAGCAAGGAAACATCCATTTTCTGACTCATGATTTCTTTCCTTTACTTGGGAAATAGGCAAAGATTCTTCCTTTT